CCGGTCGCCCGTCGCAGCGGGCTTCCGGGGAGAGCCCCGGGCAGCCCCGTCCCCGCCTCCCGGTGGTTACAAGGGGCGTAAATCGTTCTCTGGTCCTGCTGGTGCCGTTCCTCCTCTTAGCAGAGCCCCGAGTTTGGCACATGAAGCTGAGGGGACTGGGAGAGGTTTCAACAGTGAGTTGTGCTGGAGAGGGAGTTGGTGCCACCAGCGTGCCAGAGAGGTGGGACATCGAGCTGATAGTCTGGGTAGCTTTTTGAGTTCTCACATAAATCCATATCTCAGCACATACATGCGCAGAGAGAAAGAAAAGCAGATGGTGTACAGCGAGGAGCACAAATGGACTATCGGGGGTGACAGCCAGGGAGAAGTCAGGCACCTTAAGCAGCAAGAACAGCAAAGTCTCCATCCTTGTTGAGAAGCCTGTATGTCTGTGCCCTTCTAGAAGCAGCTTAGCTAGAGCTCACCTTAGGTAAACTGAAAGAAATCCTCAGGCTGAACTGATCCTTGTTAGAGAAACCCAGGCGTTGTGAGGCAGGAGCAAGAGCTTGAGTTACATCTTCTGGTCCTGGGAGAAGGAACAGATGGGAAAAAGGGGGGAAACTCCGGTGATACAATGCTGCTCTGCAGGCCTCACCAGGTACAGGCTGTCTCTAAGATGAGTACATCTGATTTTAAAAAAATGTCCTCCAAACAAATCATTACTCTGAACTGGTAACTAGAAATTTTAGGGGATGATTCAGTTTGAGCTGAACAAAAAAATCAGGTTTAATGTTTTCACATTTAAGAGAGGAAAGTGGCTCAGTTTATTTTGAGTTCAGGTTGTCTTTTAGCTTCTACTGTCAAGTTATGTTGAATTTTTAAGTCGCCAATAGCGTGAAGGACACAACATAAGGAAGAGTCATGTGCAAGCAGGCAGTTTCAAACCTAGAGTTAGAATGCACTTATTCCGTGTTTATCCTTCTAGTTGTCAAACTTTGGTAGTGAGTGATCTTTTAAGTGACCTTTGTGTTATTTTTCTAGTATGTACTCTGCTTCTGTTCAGAAAAGTAATATCACTTTATTTATGCTAGTAGTTAAAGCAGTACTCTATCTATGTGTTGCAGTGTGTGGGCGTGAGCCTCTCCTACTTGAGAAGCCAGACCCTTCTAGAGCACTTCCACACTAGTGTAATTGCACCTAGAGGCAAAGCTGTGCCGTTTTAACTGTTGAAAAGGACGGTCACTTTTGCCTGTGCAAGTCTTCTGTGTGAAACCGTATATAGGTCTGTGGAGTACTACAGACTATGAGGTTACCCTGGTTTTTCCAGGTAACTCTTGTAAAGATGTTGGCACCATTATGAAAAAAAGTTTGTTCCATTGGAATTCAGAGACCTGTGCTGTTTTCCTATTAGTGAGCTCAAACACTCATTGAAAGGATCAGTGAACTTTCGGTGTCTTTGTTCCCAAACTTGCTTTGCATCCCCTGGCAGATCCTTTGGAGTCTCTAAGTGGTGAAATGTGTAAAAGTCACTATTGAAAATCAAAATAATAGATGCCAGGCTAAATTAGCTTCTACCCCAGCCTATAGACTTCCACGTACACCCAAGCTATCCCTGTCTCCGTTAAGAGAGGGCTGCCAACATGCTGGCTGGGAGTCATGAAATTCTGCCACAGCCTTGTAACTGCTGTCTGTCATGTTAACCATGACTGACTTCAGCATGTTTGTATTAGGCTCAGAGCCCATCTTTCTTCTTCCCTTAAACAAAGACAAGACTACTCAAGAGCTGAAATAGCCTTTTCAAAATTATTCACTTAGAGCCTAGTCATTTAAGGTAAACAGATCTTATACTATAAATCATGTTGTCTGTGGGCAAAGAAAATACCTCACCCTAATATTTATCATTTCCCTGTCTCTGAGCAAAATCCTTATTCTTTCAGAGGTTTCATTTCTACAAGGCTATTTGCTCTAGCAACATCTTGTACTTGCATGTGCACCTGAGAAGGTGTATCACGTCTTTGGAGACAGTATGTAGGAAAATTAAATAAAACACTTTTCCCTGTCTTACTGTTTGCTATTTACAGGGAAGCCTGTGCTTGTATATTCTAATCCAGGACTGTGTTGCTTTCTAGTTAGTTGCCTCCAGCAGCCTTCACCAAGTGGATTGTAATAAACATATCACTGTCCACAGTACATTTTGTTCAGTCTACATTAATTATGCTACATATTAATATTTTTTACAGCATCTGTCAATGGATTTTAAAATGAGGTTTCTTCTGGAAGCGTGTCTTTCATAGCTTCAGCAGCAGTCTGACAGTTACAGTTTCCTACTCAGGGTCTTAATGTGCTCAAATGCTTTTTAATACCATGCTGCTGGAATGTACCATGCCAGAGCACAGCATGTTATTCTTATTCCTTCCACGTCTCTCTCTTGTGTCCCATTTTTAAGGGAATTCGGTTTACTGTGGAAAACTAAAGTTTGACTGGTCTTGCACAAGTCTACCTTTTTTCATTGCTATCAGGAGGATACTTTAGAGAAAGTTGTTTTGTTCCTGATACTGTAAGCATCACTTCTTTAGCTCAACTGAGTTCCCTCTGTTAAGGATGCTATGAGAGCCGCTCAACCCAGTGGACTCTGGGATCCAGGGTGTCGTGGTTTAACACAGCCACTCACTCAGTCCACCCCGGTGGGATGGGGGAGAGAATCAGAAGGGTAAAAGTGAGAAAACTCATGCATTGAGATAAAGACAGTTTAATAGGCAAAGCAAAAGCCGCGCACACAAGCAAAGCAAAACAAGGAATTCATTCACTCCTTCCCATCAGCAGGCAGATGTTCAGCCATCTCCAGGAAAGCAGGGCTCCACCACGCCTAACGGTTACTTGGGAAGACAAATGCCATCACTCCGAATGTCCCTCCCCCCCTCCCTTCTTCTTCCCCCAGCCTTATATGCTGAGTGTGATGCCATATGGTGTGCAATATCCCTTTGGTCAGTTGGGGTCAGCTGTCCCGGCCGCGTCCCCTCCCAACTTCTTGTACACCCCCAGCCTACTCGCTGGTGGGGTGGTGTGAGAGGCAGAAAAGGCCTTGACTCTGTGTAAGCACTGCTCAGCAGTAACTAAAACATCCCTGTATTATCAACACTGTTTTCAGCACAAATGCAAAACATAGCCCCATACTAGCTACTATGAAGAAAATTAACTCTATCCCAGACAAAACCAGCACACGGGGGTTCCTCTTTCCTGGTTACTGAAAGCCAGCCCCGTGTACTCTCAGATCTGTGAGGTTTCTCTGTCCGGATTGATGGATGCAGCTGCTGCTGTTCCTGCTTGCAGGTATGGCCAGTAGCAAGGCTGAGCGTGCATTCAAGAGAGGCATGCAGAAACACGAAACTGAAATGGTTGGTCACACAGGTACCCACAGAGCAATGGCGTTATCATACCGACATAAACACCGACAGCACTTGCATAAACAAGAACAGGGATAGCCCAATCTTGTTCCTCCCTTCTGGTTGATCAGGATTGACATTCACTAGGGTAAACACAATTCCTCTTTAGATTCGCAAGCACCTCCGTGTTCGCAGGCTGCTTGAATATCAATGTGGGCTCTGAGTCTGTTTAGTATTCCCGGACCTTGGGCCCCTTACCCAGCCACTGGCTCAGACACCGAGTCTTTCCAGGTGAGGGTCTCTTCCTGCTCACTGACTGCTCCAGCTTGACGGTCGCTACCTGATGCATAACCAAACCTGGTATTTCTGATGCTCTTACCTGGGCCCTCTCAGCCGCACACCGTATCACTGATACAGTTGCCTCATCTCTGTGTGCCTTGCAAGATTTCACTCCACAAAAGGTCCCAACATCACCCCCCCCAAGTCTTTGTGAAGCCCGGCCGCCTCTCACATAACCCCCCTCTTAACTACCTGAAAGCAAGGCCTTCCTCACCACGCTCTCAGCAACTTTTTCCAGCTTCTCACTCTGTTATTTATGTTCAACCATTTCTCATGTCCTGCCCCGTAGTTCCTACCGTTAGCTAAACCTCAGGCCAGGGCCCAGTCATCGGCCTGCGTATCTTAGCACCTTTTCTGCCCTGTTTTCGGTTTCGGCTGCCAGAAATTCGGCTTGCCATCTCATCGCCGTGCCCTCGGGGTATCCCCTCTGCTGCTCTGGCCTCTGCCAGCCTGAGGTTTTGGTGGGCTTTTTAGCTTCCAGTTAATTTTCCTCAAAAACTTAATGATTCTCCCCATCTGCTTATGTATCAGCAAAAAAAGGGCTTGATCCGGCTTGTCTCTTCACTTCTGAAAGGCAGGTCCTGCTTGACTAACCTGGTCTCTTCTATGACAAGATGACCCGCTTAGTGGATGAGGGAAAGGCTGTGGATGTCGTCTACCTAGGCTTTAGTAAAGCCTTTGACACCATTTCTCACAGCATTTTCCTAGAGAAACTGGCTACTCACGGCTTGGACGGGCGTACTCTTCACTGGGTAAAAAACCAGCTGGACGGCCGGGCCCAAAGAGTTGTGGTGAATGGAGTT